TTCTAGGATTTGAACAACCATGAACTGAAGTCACAGTCCCCCGATTGTTTCTGCGAACAGATGCACCGTGCCTGTCTGCATTGTTTCTGCAAGATGTCAATTTGCCAGCCGGGATTTCGTCCATGCTTGGATCGGAGTGTGTCAGAGTGAGCCCTGCGCCTTGGCTGTGGATCGGCCAGATGACCTTGTTTGGCTTTCTGTGTTGCCTTCCCTGAAATGGGGCTTCTCTGGTTCCAGGCCAATCCTTGTTTGGTCAGTTACCTTTCGGTGTTCTTTCTGCGTTGCTTCACACAAGGCAGGTACACCAATGCCCTAGCATCTTGTGTATGTTTAAGCTTGGCAGGAATGATAGTATGGTTGATTGCCCCTCGCATTTGTTGTCCGCAAACCTTTGCTAACTTTAGTAGCTTGAAGCTGGATGGGATGGATGTCAGACAAGCAATTTCAGGTTCTGATTTATAGCCCTCTTCCTACTATCAAACAAAGATTGTTTAATGCGTTGTTTGTTCTTCCAGGGAAAACCCTGCAGATGCGTAGTGGGTTAATTATCAGGGATAAACACTAAGCCGCTGTCATTCGCGAAATCATTGCCAAGCAGTTGTTCAACATCGGCGCAGTTGGCTGCCAGCACCAAACTCAAATGCCACCATGGCCATTCTACTACACGTAGGGTGCCAGTCATTGCTACCATTGGGTATTGCGTGATGGTTTCCCTACCCCATCTCATAATTCATGATCTCAGCTTCCAGTTTCATGGTTGGCAGTGTCCCTCGATTGGAAGATGTAGCTCTATTTATTGTAAACGCTTCGCGTTGCCCGCCTCGGCCCAGCCTAGTTTGAGGGAAGGGTCAGGAACACCGAAATCCAGTGTTGGGAAGGTCCGAATACCTGAAGCTGGCTCCAGACAAGTCAGACAAGCCGGCCTCGCCTGGTTGGGCTGGGCCACAGGCTAGTCTCAGACACATCAGATAAGCCTGCGCTGGGCCTGAAGCTAGTCTCGGGCAGCTTGGCTGGACCTTGCTTGCGTGGGTTGTTGGTTGAGCTGAAGCTAGTTTACGGCGGGCTGGGCAGCCGCACTGAGGGGGCTGGGCTATGGCTGGGCTGGGCCTGAGGCCAGTTTCAGACACGTCAGACAGGCCTGGCCAGCAGGCGGACTGGGCTGGGCTAGACGCTAGTTGAGCCCAGGCTGGTGAGGCCCAGTCTCGGCGCTAGATAGGCTGAGGCCTGCGAGTCTCAAACCGGGTGGGCTTGGGTGGGGTTGGCTTAGGCGGGTTGCTGGTTGGGCTGGGCCTGAAGCTAGTCTCAGCCACGAGGCTGCGAAGCCATGGGTGGTGCTGGGCAGCTGGATTATGGTGTTGGTTGCGCCTGGAACTTCGGCTGGCTGGGCTGAGCTGTGCTTGGGCGGGTTGCTGGATGGGCTGAGGCTGGGTAGCGAGTTGCTGGCTAGACACGTAAGACACGCCAGCAGGCGGGCTGAGGGACTGGGCCTGAGGCTAGTCTCAGGCTGGCATACCTTGAGACCAGTCTCAGACTGCGCCGAAGGGGCCTGGTCAGCCTGGGCTGCTGAGTAGCTGGCATAGCTTGAGACCAGTCTCAGAGGCCAGTCTCAGACATGTTAGACAAACCTGACCTTGGCACACTGGGCTGAGCCTGCTGGTGGGCTGGGAGCTGGGGGCCGGTAGTGGCTGGCATGCCCTGAGATGCGCTGGGGCCTGGGCTGGGCAGGCTTTGGGCTGGGCCTGAAGCTAGTCTCAGCCACGAGGCTGCGAAGCCATGGGTGGGTTGCTGGCTGCCGGGCAGCCGGACGCTGGTTGTGCCTGGAACTTGGGCTGGGCGGGCTGGGCTGAGCTGTGCTTGGGCGGGTTGCTGGATGGGCAAGGCCTGTTTCATACACACTTGGGCCCGAGGCTGGGTGGCGAGTTGGCTGGGCTGGGCCTGAGGCCAGTCTCAGGCTGGCGTACTTTGAGACGGGGCTGGGCCTGCTGGATGGCTTGGGGCCAGACGCAAGCAGGAGGGGCTGAGTTGCTTGGGCAGCCGGACTGAGGGGGCTGGGGCACGTCAGACGGGCTTGGTGGCTGGCATAGCTTGAGACCAGTTTCAGACACGTGAGACTGGGTCGTTGGCGTTAGACAAACCTGACCTTGGGGCCGGCCTAGGGCCTGGGCTGGGCGCTGGGCTGGGCTTGCTGGATGACTTGGGGTAGGCCTGTTTCAGACAAGCTTGGGCCTGAGGCTGGGTGGGGCTGACAGGCCTGGCCAGCAGGCGGGCTGCTGGTTGGGCTGGGCCTGAGCCTAGTCTCAGACACGTCAGGCAGGCCTGGCCACCAGGAGGTCATGCTTTTCAGGACAAAAAAGCAATTTTTTAGTGAATTTCGCAATTGTCAGCACATTTTCGACAAAAATGGACCCATGGAGCTGGACGCCGACGAACCCCGAAAATTTCAAGGCCCGCCGGACAGGATTTTGGGCCAGCCGACATGGGTGGGTGGGGGGGGGGGGCGGCCCGGCAAAATTTTGGTTGGGGAGGGGGTTGGGGGAGGGGAAAAGCGAAGATTCTCTTTGGAGAAGAGATCTGAGCGCCCTTGGCCCCTTTGGGGCCGAGGCGAATTTGGAAGTAAGCAACGGTTAATAGTCACCGTCAGGTATGGCCAAGGGGGACGACATGCCCCACACCAAAACTCCGTCAAGTTTATGGAAGGTGTGTCGAGTGTTACTCGACAAACAAAAACATGTCAACTGGGATGAATATTGACCAGGGCTGCATGAGATCAATCCAGGGCTACGAACTTGCGTTTTCAGCTGGAGGTACCGCAGCTTCACCAATCCAATTGCAGTCTGGGGATCCGTTTACCCTGCAGGCGAACCAAACATGGGGAATGCTTGGACCTTCTCGAATTGCGATAGTTCAAGTTTCGACAATGGCCTTATATTCCACTCTTGGGTGATGGCTATACATATATATATATATATATAATAATAATAATATGCACTTATCCACATGCATATACATTTCTCTAGTATGTGTTTTATGCACACAGTTCAACAGCTGCAATAGGCCGAGTGTTTGTACGCGCCGACAGGACGTGGTTGTAGACGGCATCGATGCCAGCCGGGTCCCTGGATTATGCTGGGGAATCCCGAACGAATCCAACTTATGGCAGCAGGCAAACATGGTACATGATTCCAATGATGGCGGCTTTTATATAATCTTCAAGGGATGGGAGGCGCACACACGCACACACACACACACACATACACACGTTCACATGCACGCGTGGATGTGACGTGATGCGACAATGTGTTTACTCCTTGATATGTTTGTACATAACATATGGGTATGGGTCAAAAATGGTCAACAAAAAGGCATCAGAGGACCGCAGGTTTTAGTTTGGGGTTCCATTTACCAGGGTTCCAATTCGGGTACGCATTTTTGATCCACAGCCATATATATATATATACCTGTGTGTGTACACACATGCCCACATTTGGGTATTTTGGTCGGTGTGGAGTACGTGCACATGTGCGTGAGTGAAGCTCTGATTGCCTGATCAGATGAGTGTGCCAATCCTTTAACAAGTGTGGAACGTCCAGGGAAGCATGTCTGTGGGTGCTTGACAACTGAGTCTGTGTATCCATAAATCCTCTTGCAGTTGTGATACATGCAGCCAGACACAGATTCTGCGAGCGCCAATCGCCGCAAGAGACAGTTGTGAGGTCTGGGCTATATATAGAGACATTGTGTGCAACGAGACCTCCGTACTAGTCGCGCAGATTTGTTATGCATCTCTGTTGTCTCCAATGGTGGCGGTGTCCAAACCAGGAGCCCTAGTCCGTTTGACTCCCTTTCGTCTGTAGGTATAACCAGGGAATCCTTTTGAACTGCAAGGAAAAGTCATGGGTACCTTGCCTAGTAATGTGAGAACCGGGATTCATAGGGTAAGCTTTCAATCCGGGGCAATCCCCCCCACCCTTCCCGCGGTTTACTGAGGAGGTGTTTTCGTTTGGGGGCGGGGGGTTCTGAATGATTCGTATGGTCCGCCGATTTTCAAAGTCAACAAGGCTTAGCTTCAAAGCCTCATCTTACGACAGGGGCTCAGTTCAAGCTTCAACTACAACTTGTACGGTCATTTAAGTTCCGCTTTAAAACAAGGGTTCAGTGAAGTTCTGAAGATTTCAATCCTGCTCGTGTTTGTTAACTTAGTCATGGTATGGTTTTGAACCTGTTCGCAAATGGGTTCCCCCCGACAAACGCAGAAGCTACCTCGACACCGTTTCTCAACGGCAACCACCCCTTGGGACCTAGGCTTCCATTTTGGACGTGGTGTTGCAACCGGTGACCAGAGCAAGACCTGCTCGTCGCTGTCACCACATCCGCCTTCGCATTGTTGGGCTGGGCCTGTCTACAGGACGTCGCTGTTGAGCTCATCCTTGAAGTTCCTACTCGGGATGATGCATTCGACTTGGGCCTCTCTACGGGCTTCTCCTTGTCCTGACGCACTTTCCGGAGCGCTTCCACCATGTCCTGGTAGACCTCCTCCTCTTTGACCAGCATTCGCATGATCGTCTCGTTCGGCTTGCGCTTGTTGCGCTAGCGCTCCGGATGAAAGCTCTTTGGCACCGGCAGCTGTTGCAAAGGGCTCTCCCTGAGGGACCTTCGGCCGGTCCAGCAGAAGTTTGACCCTTGAAGTCCGACGGCCTCAAATTGCTGCAAGCGCTTCCGCGCATCTCGAGGCCGCCGTCTCCTTCTCAACAAAAATCACTACCCAAGGGTTGAGCCACTCCTGATTGAAATCGTATGGTACTCTTTTAGCTCTGTTCGCCTTACTTTAATTTGCAGGGAAACCAACAGGAAACCCACTGTTTTGGGGTTCCTTCAATTTGACACACTCATGAACTCAGCAACCGCCGAAACGCGGACGGAACCACCTGAACCACCCCTACCACCCCTACCACCCCTTATTCTCTCCACCGGGTACTCAATTCGGCGATTCGAATTCGAAGGCCAAGTGATGCAGCTCAGCCACTTCGACTACCTCCGCCGCGCCGTGGAGGCTCTGGTGGTGGGCTCCTCCTTGGCGCTGCAGGTGCCGATGGAGCCAGAGCGCGGGGGGTGTGGTTGTGGGTCTGCGTTTTGAGGGTACACCCCTCTTCCGGCTGGTTGAAAGGAAAACCAAAGGAGACCACAAGTTTGGGGTCGCATGTGATGCATACCCATAGAACTCACTTCCTGAGTTCCTGAACTTTGAGCTTAAATACAAAGTTTGCACTTTTTGTTGGCCCATCCACTCAGGAAGTGAGAGAGAGAGAGAGAGACTCTCTTTGCCAGTTTCTGGATTCTTATCACTTCTTGGGACTGGACCATGTTTGAGAGACTGGAATCCTACGGGTGGCTAGGTCAAAATGTCCAGTCTATGGCCATTTGGGAGGGACGGGGGAAATGTGCCTCATTTCTTTCTACCCGGGTTCTGATCATGTGAACATGTGAACAACAGGACAGTCATGTGTGTAGCATCCGACAGGCACCCATTTGCAAGAACCCATTTGGGGCCAGCCAAGAAACCCACGTACCAGACCAAATGCAAACTTTCGATACAGGGAGGTTTATTTTTGCCAGAAAGACCAAGAGGCAAGTCTGTTTTCCTCCTTGGGAAACCGTTACTTGCTTGTTCTGGAAGTAGGAGTGTCCTTCCAACCAACAATGGACGTGCAGGGAATGTCCAATGCAGACCTCGGGCCCAATAAAAAAAGACCCCTCGCGGCACCCCTGACGAGGCTCTTGAACAAAACCATTTTGGAAAACCCAAGAAAGCCGTTTGGATCCTTAAGACTTGTCCTTCCAGCGCCCTTTTGCCCTTGAACAAAAGCATTTTTGAGGACTGAGAATCCTTAGGGAGCGCGAAGTTCCGTCGTCCAGGTCGCCGCCTTTGCCAACCTTGCAGAGTTCAACTGCGCGGTGAAGCATGCGCCCCGGGTGGCCCTGGTGAGCCTGACAGAG